CAGAGGCTCAGGTCGCCCGTTTACATCGCTAAATAGCTCTTCTTGCTATGGGGTCATCATCATCATCGTGCAGCGTAATACAGTGAAGCGAACTTCCCTGATCGCTGCCAAACTCGCAATGCATACGCACTGGTGTTAGATGAACGGGTACTGCTAGGGTGTCCAGCCACTAGGCGGGAGAGCGATTAGGGTTCTCAACCAAAGCCTTTAGTTCTGACAAGAACCTAACCGCAAGGCAGCGGGTGAGTTGGAGTGGAGGTCCATTCACTTGGACCAATTATTCCATCTTTTACCAACTGAAACGTCAATTCTAGTCTAAGCCCCAACCTGGGGAACCAGGAGACTGGGTTTCGTCGGACCTCTACCCTTGGACCTTCCAGGCATGACTAGATCTTCGGCTTGACAAAAGCCATCCTGTGTAGCTCGTTGGGTCAGAGGGGTGCACAAGCTATCACACCACGTCAAGATGCTGTCTCGTCGTCTCGTCATCACACAACGGTGTAAAAATACCAATGGGTTTTTGACAGATATTGTACGGTGGTGTTTATTTCGCAGTTTTGGGCTGAGAAATTTTTATCCTGAGCGTTGCTCTCCTGATTATGACAGTAGCCACTGACTCGATTGAAAACCGTGGTGTATCGGGTATCGTGGTCGTCTGACCCTGTCCGAATGGCATATAATCCACCGTTCTGGATACCGGCTCCCAATGGAATGCGATTTTCACACAACGTACTGCTACCATGCGGGTCAGGCCTCGGCTGGCTGAAGGTTCTGGTTGTGAATTGCTCAAGAAAATTCACCTGCATTGGCTTGCGCAATTTGGCAGTAGTCTCCCCGCAAAAGATCACGGAACTTCCTCTTTTATACAAAGATTTTTGTATAATGATTCGTTTGATACGGTCAGGAGTTAAGTGCGTGTGAACTGCAAATAAAAATAATAGTTTTCCATGGACTCCCATTCCATGAGAGTTGTACAGAGTAATCATAATCATGGCAACACCTTTCTCAGCAGAAGGCACAAGACTGATAACAGTACAGTTAGTTGCATCCGAACAGGCAAACACCAAGGGAACCAGGAATATTCGTGAATAACCGTCAAGAGGCAGTGATTCAAGATCGAAAATGGTATTGAGCTCTCAAAATCGATTGAGTCTTTCGAACTGATGTTTAGCTTTAATCGCATGCCCTCCAAAGACAGAAAGCAAGG